GCAACTTTGACGAGAGCTTTTGGTTTCTGTCGCTTCAGCACTGAAAAGTGTAGTTGTTTATTTATGATTACGGAAGCGGGCTATTGATTTTTGTAACTTTTTTGTTGGTGTTCGGTTTTTTCCCTATGAATTTCTGTAAAGTGGAATTTTCTTTCTTCTGTTTTCGTGGCCTTTTATATTAAACACAGGAGGATAAATTAGTCAGTTAACCATGCAGAAGAAGATCTGTGAATGACAAAGGTATGCAAGTGCGGTTTCTGTATACAATGACTAGGAGTAATAAACATTTTGGAAAGAAGAAACATTTAACTATTCAATAGTAATTACCTCTTATGGCGAAGTTTACTGAAGTGTCTTTATACCAAAACCCATGTGTTTTTTTCTTTTGTTTGTATTTTCTTTTTACCATCTCTAAGCGACACCAACGACTTAGAAAACCCATTTAAGAAATGGGAACGCCAAGCGATTAACGCATGTAATCGTGCGACGGTCTTTATTGAGTAACTGGGTTGGCGTAAAAAGTGGCGCGAGATATACTATTCAACCAAAAAGTGTAGCAATAAAACTGCTTCACGGAGCTCTTCGAAACCTCTAATGACATTCGTTCTTCCTGCCCCGGAGCTCTGTTTTTCCTGGGTTAGGGTTCGCTGTTTCCCTTGTTTGCTTGTGGCTGTTACTATTAAATAAGGAAAATTTGTGGAACAAACCAGACCTTTTCCGCTTGCTCAACATTTCCTTTTTTCTCATGACTGTTGTCTTTGATTGAACAGAGTTTGACTAAATTGAATGTTGGTCACTCTTAAAGTATAAAGGTATTCATCGCTTCTATTGCGTGCGACGCAGAACAACCAAAGCTACCTTTTTTTTTACAAGGGCCTGTTCTGACAATCTTTTGCGCGTTTCTTTTCATGTTTTAGTTGACATGTACCATTTCATTTTGTCTCGATGCTATTGACAATCCTTCTAACGCACTTAGAATACGTACATGTGCTGTGTGCTTCTAGCGGCAGCGACCTTTTTAATTTCGCCAAAGTTTCTATGGTATTTGCGCTAAAAATATAATATTTTCCACAGCAGATGCTAATGCACATGTCGAACGCACTTTTGATTAATCGGCGATTACTCCTAGCAATACAATAGTATGCGTGAGATAAAAGAATTTCAAAATTGCAAATAACCTGGATAATAGAAAAGTGATCTTATCACCCTATAACTGACGTCGATTTACCATTAAGAATGTTCAACTTAGGGTTCAAAGTTTTCAGTTTCCTCAAGTCGCGTTGTCAAACTGAACTTTTATTGCAATTATCTTATTTTGCGTTAAAAGTGTTTGATGGTTTTGGCAAATTTAGGTGGTGTTTGTAATTAATGCTCTCGTAGAAGTTTATTTCTTAAAAGCTTAGACGTCACCTTTTTTATAAATTGCTCCACTAAATTTTAATTATAGAGAATAACCAAAAGGATTAATTAAAATTTGTCCTTAATTGCATGTGGTTTGAAATATCGTGGACGCTACGCTTAAATAATAAACGATCAGTGCTTTGTGGAGTAAATATTCTAGAAATTTGACAATTGAAAATATTTTATTTTGCGGCTGTTTTTATGAGGCCAGTTGGTGTTTGTTATATAAATACATATTGTTGGATTTTTAGAGAGATAACTCCATCATAATCACAGTTTACAGCACAGAAAACCGTACCGTAGCAAAATGCTGCTCACTGGTTTTCATTTCAATAGTTGCGCGTAAGGATATCGTCCACAGACTCAAATTTTGGGGGCTTTCCTTCGTTATAATTTGAACCTTAGAGGTGAGGGTCGAAAACATCTGTTTATGTGTCAGCAAAATATTACCCGCCTTAAGTGAGGGACGCCTTATTAGAAATCGTCACAACAGTCAGAACCACCTTGTGCGGAATAATAGTGAACAGTGCCATAGGAAATTAGGGTTCAATAGCTTTTATTTGTATAGCGACGCGTATTAGGCTTTTGTAATTTAGCTCACAGACTCAATAGTATCAAGCACCCTATTAGGCCATTTTTTTTCACGATCAAGTCCGGCAATTTACTACCCCTACCAGAATCAATAGCTTTTTGTTTTCTTGTGCAAATTAGGGCTGTTGTTATTTAACCTCTAGGAAGACCAAATTTACAGTGCGACTACTCGAAGCGGGCTACTGGAAAGAAGATTATCCAATCACAACGTTTTTTGAAAACAAAAGATTTTCAACTTTTTTGTAAACTGACCAATAAACTGCAAAGTTCAACTATGCAAGCGTTGAAAACTTTAAATCCGTTTGAACTTGCCTGACCTCTCAGAAAACAGCCCTCAAATTTATAAATGTTATTGGTCCTTTTGCAAAAAAAACTTGGGAATCTTTGGTTTTCATAAAACGTTGTGATTGGCCAATCTTCTTCCAAGTGCCCCTGTTCCAGTAGTCGCACTGTAAATATGAAAGAAAACGGAAAGGATTTTGCTATTACGTAGTGGTTGTAATGGGAGGCTATCGGCAAATGGCCTATAGCTTGCAATTAATAGTCCGCATACTTTAGAATTTAATCCACAAACAAAATTTGTAACTTGTTGATAAAGCGTAGTGAATATTAATGGCCACTAACATTTTTTTTTATTGACTACTGAGTGCAAAATTTCGAACAGTCTTTTTGTTTTCGTTTGTCTGCATTCGGACATGCCGGATTTTAATCTGATTATTTATGGCGTTTTTAACTTTGGATATGTACTTTATCGAATAGATAAAGGTCATGATGATGATCATCTTCTTCGTAATCATCATCATCATCATAAAAATCATAAGAGGACCATTTGCACTATGACGTCGTTTTACTTCTACTGTCAGAGACCACCAGGGTCTGTTACTAAAAACATTGCTAGAATATGAAAGGTAAAACGAAATGGGTTGTAATAGTACTAGGAAAAATGAAAATATACAATACGTCAGGTCGTGTTGTATTCGTGAGTTCTCGTTTTGATTTCCTATTCAGTCGTCCATGCGTGTTTTCATGTTACAAACTGGCATATATATGTGCGTCCTCTTGTTCAATTCACGCGCAGTATGGAGGGCTCGTACTGAATTCGTATCCCGCTTTGTGTTCTCGTTTCAAATTCGTACCCAGTCGTGCAGTGTTCGTGTTTATTTCGTATTCCTTTCATATGCTTTCGTGTTCAGTTCGTATCCCTCATGTGTTTTATTTATGTGGGGTCTGAAGACTTCGTGTCAATTTCGTATCCAGTCGTGCGGTTTTCGTGTTTATTTCGTATTCTTTTCACGTGGCTTCGTGTTCAGTTCGTTTTGCGCTTGTGTTTCATTTTTGTTGGTTCTGGAAAAATCGTGTCGAATTCGTATCCAGTCGTGCGGTGGTCGTGATTATTCCGTACACTTTTCAAGCGGTTTCGTGTTCAGTTCGTAACCGCTTGTGTTTTTTTTATGTGGGGTGTGGAAAGTTGGTGTCAAATTCGTATCCAGTTGTGCGGTGTTCGTGTTTCTTTCGTATCCTTTTGATGCGGTGTCGTGTTCAAAGTCGTATCCTGCTTTTGTTTCATTTGATGTGAGGTCCGGAAATCTCGTGTCAAGTTCGTATGCACTCGTGCGGTGTTTTCATGTTCAGTTCGTATCCCGCTTGTGTATCATTTATGTGGGGTCTGAAAAGTTCGTGGCAAAGTCGTATCCAGTCGTGTGCATTCGTGTTTATTTCGTATTATTCACCTGTGTTTTCGAAAATGTTTTCGAGTACAGTTCGTATTCCGCTTGTGTTTAATTCATGTGTGGTCAGGGAGTTTATTTTGAATTCGTGTCGCGCTTTGTTTGCATATTCGTTTCAAATTCGTTTTCAGTCGTAGTAGCTCGCATATAATTCGTAAACACTCGGCAAGGGGGTTTCAGTTTAATTTATATCCAGTCGCGTGTCGTGTCAATTTCGTGTCTTGTTCGTACGGTTTCGTGTTTTTCTTCGTCAGTTTCCTCTTGTGTTTATTTCATGTGTGGTTAAAATGGGTTCGAGCTGAATATGTATCCTGCCGTGTTTGTTCGTAACGAATTCGTTTCCAGTCATGTTAACTCAAGGGCAATTCGTAAACATTCGACTTAAATTCGTATCCATTCGTGTAGGTTCGTGTAAATATCGTATTCTTTTCGTGCCATTTCGTGTTCAGTGGCGCAAATTTGGGCCCTGACAAAAAAACAAAAGCGAAAGTTTTAATTTTAGATTTTAATGAAAACGACCCTTTTTAATTTGCACCATCTAATTTTTCCAGCACACTTCAGCGTCAGTGTTCTAACCAAACAGAGGCATGTACAGAGCCCCTTGTAATTATCAGGATATTTTGACTTTTTGCCTGTTGGCACAAAATTCAGTGGCAATGTAAATTGGCAGCTCTTCGAGTTGTCAAATCCTTGTCATATTTAAACAACAGAAGGAATTTTGATTCGCTGCATATTCAAGTTATACTTGCTATAAACTAGGTGTTGATTAAACGAAAATGATAATGTACAGGCAAGAAAAAATGAAAACATTTAAGTTTATGAGATTTATAGGGGGTGAAATGTGGCGATAAAGAAAAACAAAACATGGAGCACTGTTCACAGCAGGTAAATCCCTTACTTTACTCGCGGTGCTAAAACTTGAAATTGCTTCAACCACATTGTCACGTCTTACGTGATTTTGTGTTTAGAATAAGCTATGATCGAAATTTCAAATAAAACCACTTCAAATACTGCTTGTAATATTAATGTCAACTCAAAGGTGACATAGTTAACGAGTGAATTTATTATATGCAAAGTAGTAATTTGTTTTTATGAGTTTAAAGCGTCCTTTTCAGATTTTTTTCGTCAATGACACATTAGGTCGATTTGATTGAACACCAAGGACAAAACATGTTTGTGGAAATAGCTAAGATATAAGTGCAGAGCTTGATTCGTTTTCTGATTAAAACTGTGGCTTTATTTTAACCACTGAAATATGTTGGGTACCATGGCAACGTGTGTGTTCAACACAAATGCAACATTCAATTATCCTATTCAAATCTATTGAGGATTGCTTTAAAAACAGTCCTTCGAATCTCCTATAGCGGCGAACGGATGGCAATTTGTTGAAAATATTCCTCGCTCTATTGGCAAAGTTTCTGATTATTGTTTTTGTGGCTTAATCATTTCTTGACAAAAGATCTCGTTTGGAAGTCACCTTTAATGTAGGCGTGGCCTAAAGGGTATTTGACATCATAGCTAGCATCTGGTCGGCAGCTAGCCTAGATTCGTTTGAAAACAGCACAATACGCCTCAAATTTGTAATTGCTTCAAATTAGTTCTTAAGGACAACCAATCGGAACATAGTTCGAGAAGCATTGAGCAGGGCTTTGCGGGCGCAAACCACCGTCCATCCGTCTACAGAGAAAAAAAATACGCGCCAAGCGAAATTCATTCATTGGAGTGATCGGTGTATGGTAAATATGAGCAGACGGCCGAGATGAAGACCCAGAATTTACGCACGATCTTGCTAACGATTTGTTCCCTGTCTTATCTGCTTGTCGGGGCGGCTATTTTTAGTGCTCTTGAATTTGACTACGATCAGGAAATGCAGAAAAGTATGAAAAAGATCCACAAGACGCTTGTAAAGAAGTACAACATTAGTGAGGAGGATGTGAAATTGTGGCTTAAATACCTGGACAATAAGGCGAATATCGACGCGGATCTTTATCAGTGGAGCTTTGCCGGTTCGGTGTATTTTGCTACCACGGTTATTACAACTATAGGTAAGGTGAATTTACTTGGCTATCAAAGTGGGGGCGATATGTTGCGTTTAATCCTCGCCAGAAATTAGCTTGATTGGACGCAATACTCACAAGGTAGATAGCAATTAGTACCGCGTTATGGAGCAAAGTCTTTTAAAGTGAGCTCATAAACTAGACTGGCACCTGTTTGGACACTCGTCATTGACTAAGTATTATAGCTATAGCACGTAGTTTCGTCTTAAAGCACTAAGTCAAGGCCTGCACTTGTAAAAGAAAGGAGGAAAAGACACCTTCTTAAGCGAAATTCAAAGGAAACCAGTCCGCATTGTCGCAGAAACACGTCCCAACCCGCTTCCTTAAGCTATTTCCGCGAAATAATTGAACTACGATACAAGCAAGAAGGGATATTTCCTTTTCGAAGTTTATTTCTCATAATAAACAAACGCCCGCGAGAAATGCGTATATTGTCGAAGTTTGAGAGCTTTGTTCAAATATTTTGTACATCCACATGCTTAAATTTGTACTAACTTGAAGTTCTGTCTCGATATATTTTTAGGTTATGGCCACACTGTCCCCAAAACAGACCGTGGAAAAATATTTTGTATGATATACGCGGCGGTGGGGATCCCTCTCGCACTTACGATGTTTCAAGCTATCGGCGAGCGTCTTAATACCTTCCTAGCGCATATGTTTCGTCGGGTGAAGAAAAAATTTGGGATGAAAAACACTGAAGTTTCGAACACAGCAAACATGGTGGTTCTGTTCGGATTGTTTTGTATGGTTGTTACCGTTTGTTCGGGCGCTTTCATATTCTCACATTACGAAAAGTGGACGTATTTTCAATCACTCTACTATTGCTTCATAACCGTAACAACCATCGGTTTTGGAGACTATGTGGCGTTGCAAGACCCTCAACGATTCAACGACACCTACGTGGGTATATCCCTTCTTTTTATCTTCTTTGGTTTAACTATCGTAGGATCAGTGATGAACCAGTTAGCATTGAGACTATTAACTGCTAGCCAAACCAAAGAACCTACGGAGCAACTTATCCACGAGGGGCCTCGGTGCGACAAGTGCGCGTCGTTCCGCTCTATCCACAACTTTGAACAATTCGAGCCGTATTTGGATAATTCGTCCACGTTACTTAAGAACTTCGAAGAAGAAATTTCGTTTACGACGTACAAAGGATTACACAGAAAACGGGCGTCAATTTGATGCCGTTTACATATTCAAAAAACGTGATGCAACAGTATTATCCGGATAGCTTTAATCAAAACGGTGAGAGAATTTTTCAAGATATAGAATATTTTTCGACAAAATAAACAGAAAATTAATTTTCGTAGTTTGATTAGTTACGCAGAGGCCCGTCTTTCTCACTTTGCAGAAGATTAAAAGGGAACTTGATTTAAAGCGTACATTCATGGCATATAAATGTTATAAGCGGGTAAGGGATGTAAACTCGCTGCAATAAACCCAAAACAACCACAATTATAATTGGTAGATTTTTAGTTGTTAGCAACACGTTTAAGACTAAGAGGCGATTTCAATGTGGTGAGTAACGTGGCATGATTATTTAAAATGCGGTGAAGAATATAGATATGAAATTTAGGATACTTTTGAAAGTAAAAATCGCGTACACGATATTATTCACGTCGTACTTCGATATTTCCCTCACCACCTGTTTACCACAGCATGAAAGTTTAATTAATGAAATTCATTTGTATTTGGGCAAATTTATCTCACACCAAAAGAAAAGAAATACCGCGCGAAGTAGCCTGACAAGGCTCACAGAAAAATAACGGAATAAACGGCAATAGTTTTTTCGCCTGCTCAGTTAGGTCATACTTATGAGAGAAAGACCGTTTAAACAGGAAAACAAATATGCTGCGAGGCACGCCCGATGTTAACAGAATCAGGAGATAGTTTTGTGAATATTTTATGTATCTCTTTTTTTTTCACACAAATGAGCGTCTTTCTTCGGCAGGCGACAAAGTTTTTTGTATGTTTTCTACCGAAGAAATAACTAGTTGTTACAATTCATGATGATATATAGCGAGATCTTTCATTTTTATGTAAATATTAAAGTTTATCTTTCAACGCTTATTTCTAAGGAATATTTTTTATAGTGTACAATAAAAGTGTTTTCACAAAGTAATTGAACTTTAGATATTTGAACTGAAAATAGTGAATTCGTGCAAGATTAGCTTAACCTCACATCGAAATTTAACTGCACTGTGACACATGTATGGAAGAAAAAAAGAAAATAATGTAAAATTAAAACTTTTTACAAAACAAAGCGTTTGTCAGGTTTTGTTATTGTCTTTGTTTTTGCCCGGCGGTGTTTCGGATGTGAACTCAAGTAGGTTGTGCCGATTCGGTCTTTATTTGGCGTTTTTTAATACTCCATATATCGCTATCGTCATTCCAGTCTTTCCTCGTGTGGGGACGAAAGACCCTACAACTGACACCTGAGCAGTATCGTTTAACTTCAGGCAAACAATCGATGTTTAGGGGGAGGGCGGGGGCGCATCGATATTTCAGAAAAACCCAAATATGGATGATATCGAGTGGAGACTGGCCCTCTTACTGGACATGTAAATACTTTTTGAGTACCCCTCCAAGCTTTTCAAATTCACGCGGCAAGATACATGTTTTCTAATTTGTAAACGCAAATTTCATTTTCAAAGCCTAATGTTTGCAGAGTTGAAAAACTGAGCTATGGAGCGTAAACCCGGCTGAAATCTATGCTTTCCCCCCTTGCTTTTCATATTCTTGTTTTAATTTAATTTTCTTTTTTTTTTCCAATTATTATGGAATGTATTTTTTTGGCTCTCTCTATTTCTGTTTTTTAATATCAATGTCAAACCTTGTGCATAATTTTTGGTGACGTTATTTAATAGACTGTCACCCAAGCGAAGACACCTAAAATTCTTCATAAAATTCTTCTAAATGAAATGTCTTTAAAGACGACAAGTGGTGTTGCCAACAATTTTTAGTTTAATAAGCATCCTAGTCAAGTGACAGATTTTTAACTTGCTTCTAGTCAATGTACAATGTCCTTTGCAGCCAAATACTTTTCCTAAAGTTCCATTGGTCTCGTAACGTGAAATTCGGTGGTAAACAAATAGCGAGAGTCAAAGTCATATGAGAAAATTTTCGCCAAGTTTTGGGTACCAAAGAGCTATAACAGTCTTGGAAATAGCCTTTTTCAGTGACGTTGAGAAGTGCAAGAAACTTTTGCCTTTAAGTGTTAAGCAAACAAAGCAAATGCTCTCATTAGACAATCTTATTGCCTTAATCACCATAATGCTAAAGAGACATTTAGTATTGTACAACATGAAATAATATATTTATTCGGGGGAGGTTCTATTTTTCTCCAATAACTGCACATTTTAAGCAAATATTCAAATGTTGCTGAGAATATACCCACAGCTTAATGAGGATTTTTTGTTTCTTTGCGATCGTTTTGTTTCTCAGCGATGTTATTTGCCATCCTGGCATTAATTATTCATCGTTCTGCCTGTAGGTTTTAAAATGAAAAACCAAAATGTGTAAACAGTGTATATTTTCAACACATTTAATTACAATGTGATGCACAGCCATTCTTAAGTCGCTTTGTTACGTTCAGGATAAAAGCGACAGACCTTTTGTCAATAGGTAGCTACTCTGATATAAATTTTGGTGCTGTGACAGCCCTCTTTGATGTAACGTGTTAAAAGACCTGCATCCTTTCACGGACATCACTTAAATAACACAATGCCAAGTTTTCGTTTCTAAGTCTTTAAAGGTATAATCCTTGGTGAACTAACCCTCACTCAGCCCTCACTTGATAAAAATATCGCTTTAATTTTTCTTTTTCAGACTTTTAATAACAAGTCAAATGCCTTCATTTTTTTATCTCCTTCGAAAAAGGCAAATAAATTGTCACAGTGGGAATCTACAATCAGCTGAAAATTCATATTACTTTTGCAATTAATTTCTGCTCGTGTCCATATTTATTCAACCCCGGCCTTGGTCTATTTTTTTCTCCGTGGTGTCTTTTAGCTTGATCGTCTGACGGTTTTCGACAACTTGAATCGAAATTGAGAGGAAATGTGGCCTGATATTCTTTATTCAGAAAATTATATATAACTTTAAACTAGATTCGACGTTTTGGCAGAACTACTATGCACGAACATTTATAGTTGTGTCAGTCCAATCGCTGCATTTGCAAGCAAAGATGACAAAAAATTTAAAATGTACTTGCTGCCAAAATACCTAATTCCTGTTGAACATACTTTTTTTTGCTGAGTAACGGCAAGGCATGTTGTAAAATAAGTTTGCAAATTTTATGTGTTTTATGCCCGTATACGGTAAAAAAAAAGATTAAGGTAAACGCTTCATCGTCGAAAGCTTTGAACAGATAATACCAGATTATATTTTACGATTAAAATTTTATTGAAAGTATTAAATGGGATAATATTTTAAAACCTCCTATTTAAGGAGATTTATTATGCTGCAAGTGTGATAATCCTAGTAAACGCTCTAATTTTTAGCCTGCACCTACAAACTGCAACTAAACACAACAGCAAACAGATGGCCAGTTTGAAAGCTAAGCGGTAATCCTTTTTTTGCAGTTTGTCCAAAACAACATGACACAACTTCAACTAACAAATTCCAAAACTCAGAGCAAAAAAATTTCAAACTACCCAAGTATATCGTTCGAATTACTCGAACTTCATCAGCGATGTAAAATGAGTTCGGCGAGCATCGGCATTGTTGCGTAACATTCAAAATATAAGGATTTGTATGGGAAAAAAACCTATCGTTTCTGTAACCTACGAAAATGAAAGGATTTCAATAAAAAAACAGCTTACCTTACTTAAAATGTGTGTTACGTCTCTAAAACGGCCATAAATCGACCCGTGGACCACACAGGAGAGACGTAACACACACTTTAAGTAAGGTAAGCTGTTTTTTATTGAAATTCTTTCATTTTCGTAGGTTACAGAAACGATAGGTTTTTTTCCCACACAAATCCTTATATTTTGAATGTTACGCAACATTTCGAGCTTGGGCTAGCTGTGGTTCCAGGCGTTCAGATAGTAGAGCTCGGAGGTAAGTGGGGAGCAAGTTAAGTTGTACACCGGGAAAACAGCTGGGTAGGGGAACGGCTAAATAGTCTTCCCTCGTTTTTTTTTTTCTTCGTGAATTTTTCCCCCGCGCTCTACTATCTGGAACAGGCTAGTACTTCTAGGAGCGTCTCACAACTTGGGGCAAGCAAAGGCCACGTTGTTTTCACCTGACTTTTAAACACATGCATTGTAGAGAACTTTTTACCACTATTTTCTAGACTACTCTGTGTGAGTACACTTCCGAAATAAGGTTAAAAGGTGTGAAAAAGGAAAGGAAATCTCATTGTGAAACAGTCCGATCAGCTTCCAGTCTACACTTTCTTCTAACTCTTTTGTGGAATTTCTGTAATTAAGATTCGCAAGAAAATTGGGTATAAATATCAACTAACCCGTGAGAAGTCACCGTGACAAGAATACATGGCAGTTGCTCGTTCTGAGGTATGCTACTATTTAACGAAATCACAGGTAGCTCAAGTTCGAAATATGAGCATTGGCGGGCATCGGCATTGTTGCGTAACATTCAAAATATAAGAATTTGTATGGGAAAAAAACCTATCGTTTCTGTTACCTACGAAAATGAAAGAATTTCAATAAAATACAGCTTACCTTACTTAAAATGTGTTTTACGTCTCTCCTGTGTAGTCCACGGGCCGATTTATTGCCGTTTTATGGGTTTTTATGTAAACGGTTTTCTCTCCGCAGAAGCAGGGGTACCCAACGACCGTTCTCTGTAACGTATCTGTTCGGAGAAGCAAATATTGCCTAGAATTTTCTATCACTTGAGGACGGCTAAAAATTGCTGTATGACCGAAGCTTTTCCAATAAGTCCGCTACTATTTTCTGAAGTTTAATTTTTCACATTTTATTTCCCAGGTTAGGCTATTTTCGTAGTAAAAAGGAAACCTAAAATTTTCGGATTCAAAAATGCGATGTAGAGAGGAATTAGAAAAATTCTCACTTTCGTACAACGTTAAATTGCATCTAAAATTTTCGGTAGAGTACTACTGGAGTCCTAATAATTTCGAACAGACTCAAGTTGCCCCAGGATGACCGAACAGCTACAAATCAGGGGCACCCAACATCAATTTTCGGAAAATATCTGTTCGAAAGACGATTTGAGATCTAGAATTTTCGGAACATTTGTTGTAAAATTTCTTGCTTGCCTACCTCTCCCAGGATTTTCGAACATGCATCTAAAAAATGGTATAATTGCCCATTTTTAACGGATTTTTACCCTAAAAAGGTCACCTAGAATGTTCGGAAGCCTTTTTTCTGGCTGAAATTTTCGAAAAGGTAAGTTTTGATCCCTGATAAGTTTCGAATCACTAGACTTTCAGCTAGGAAATCCGAACAGATGAAAAATTTTTAGAGGACAAAAATATGCCTATATCTACCGTTGAAATACTGTCTAAAATACGTTTAACAATGCTATGTTTAACTGGGTTTGAACTATATTCTCGTTGGGTGCCACTGACAAATTTTATAGCGCCGCTTATAGAATGCATTCCTAGAGATCTGAAAGTACTCTGGATAGCCTAAAAAGTGTTTTCAATGTATGTAGGAGGAATCCGTCGTTGGGTGTCCCCGTGTAAGGTTCAAACAGCAAAATCCCTCAAAATTGCTCAAAAAAACCGCTTTTGAGGCAAAACGGCGACGATATACCACAGGTAAGTAATTCAACGTTTATTTAACATTGATTTATACATAGCGATATATAGTTATAGGTGAAGCAAACGGTAAATCAAGCTAGTATCGACAAGTAAATTTACTTGTACAAGATAAGGCCAATAAAATAGATTTACAGTATAAGATATATTTAATTGATCGTTACAAATGTTTAAAATTGCAATAGCAAGGAAACAGCCAAATGAAAAGTATGGACTTGGGAATGACCCCTCTCCTGCCCGGGGATTAAAAGAAGCTCGCGTGCGAACGCTCATTGATGCTTCGAGCCCTACTAAAATCATCATCAGTCTTTTTTAAGAGACTGAGAAGCCGATTTTCGTCTCTCTTTTTCGCGGCTTCATCGCCCAAAAAGTTTACTTTTTGACTTGAGTTGACCAATCGTTACCCTAAAATTCATGAAAATTTCATCTCACACGGCTGAAACCTTTTTGGCCGCACAATGGCGAGAGGCTTTGGGTACGAAGTCGGTTCGAACACGGTTACCAAGCTTCAACATGGCGGACGAAATGGCTGGAAATTGATGGGAAAAGTTTGCGCTGTAATTTAAAATGTATGGTGGTCCTCGTAACCCAAATTCGTCGCCATTTCAAGGCCGTTCGAGACCTCTTCCTCAAAATTTCCGACCACGGTTTGAAAACCCAGGATTTCCACCACAACCACATCCTAACGCTTATTGGGACTTCCGTCCAAGACAACCTTATCCTCCTTCAACACATTTGCAGAGGCCTTTTGGCATGATAACTCATCCGCAGGAGCCAGGGGGAACATTCCAGCCCAGGGAATGGCAAATGTCTGTGCCAAGACGAGGTTTTCCACCCGCTGGAAATCACGATCAACAGAGAACTAGGGTATGAAATTATTCTCCTTTTTTGCATGGTTATGACTTTTTAAAGTTATTTACGAGCCTATATTACAGAAAACAAAGGCAAGTTTGCATCTTTTTAAATCAAGCGTTACCAAGTCTTTGTTCTTTCCCAGAAACTTACACTGATCAGCCTTGTCTATATTCAAAAAGGGTAGAGGAGGCCACAGGAGAAATCAAGATTCATCAGGAATTGAGGCTTACTACAGGCATTCAATGGTCGAAGATCCTTGGAAAGAGCTAGAAGAACAGTACATAAGAAAAAATCAACAAGCCTAATATTATTTTAGAAAATAATTTTGTCCAAAGTGTTTGTACTTTATGACAGAAAATGTACAGAGAGATGACACACTATTTAGCTGTAAATAAGCTGGTTTTATGGCAGAAGAAGTTCATTTCCTTGATTCTAAAATATCAGCTGTTTTCTCCCCCAAACCTGTATTGCCTTAAGTTAGGAGGAAGAGATGGTTGGTACTTCAGTGTAGATTAAATTTTGATAAACTTTGATAAACTTGTTAAGTGACAGTGTTCACTCTAGAGTTTGGCATTGCGGTATATTCATGATTAAGAAAAAGTGCAGCCTAAAATTAATGTAAGAGGGGCATGGGGGTGTAGAAATAATCTAAAAGTTGGATGTTAAATAACTGTTCAGGACTTGTACAGGTCATGGAAAACCTGGAAAGTCATGGAATTTAAGCATTTCATTTTCCTTGCCTGGGAAGTCATGGAATTTAATAGTTGGTCCTTGAAAGTCATGGAAAATTAAAGTTTTGTTTGATAGATTAGTTACTGCAGATGAAAAGGCATAAAGAGGAGTTTTTAAGCAGCCCAAATGGAACACATTTTGAGGAACACCAGAGTTTGTGTTTGTTGAACTGTTTAAAGTCCAAAAATACCCTAAAACAAGAAAAGTTTTCAAAATTTTTCAAAGTGACAGCTAAACCTAAGGTCTTGGGAAACTTAAAAAGTCCTGGAAAGTCATGGAATTTGGAGAGCTCAAAAGAGTACAAACCCTGCTGTTGGTAATTATGGAGACTTAAGTGAGACACCAGGAGAGTTCTATCTAGTTGTGAAAGAATAATTGCGAAATGTTCTGGAACTCAACACTAAAAGGCAATTTTAAATATATTATGTCATAACTTACTAGCTACTTGAGTTGAAAATAACATTGGTGCTGTTTGCTCAGTGCACTGCATTTCCTTCCTTACACTAACATCTTAGTTTTTAAAAGTGCTGTCAAATCGCTAACCCTCCTTGGTTGAAATATTTATGGCTTTGAACAAAGGCTTTTCCAGCATGCTCAAATGAAACTAAAATCTACATAGGGTCATTGGAAAAGTCTGCTGTTATTTTTTATTTAATAAAAAAGAAAAAGAGCCAAACAAATTAGTGTCTACAAAAAACTTCCTCCTCCTCAGGCGCCTTGTTTTTCACACAGGGGCAAGCGTAAAACGCGAGTGACACAGAAGTGACTGGCGATGAAGCACAAGGGACCATGGAAAGGAGAAAACTGAGAGGCAAAGTTTTGTCTGTTTTCTCCTTCCAGCCTTCCTTTGCATGCAAATTTTCATCGAGAGAAAAACGTCTGGGTACAAGGCAGTACATAAAATATGTCTGTGCAATATTGAGCTTAGTTTTAACCCTGTTGTTGTTGATCACCAAATTAATACCATTACACTGGTGTTTTGGTGCCCAAAGGGATGAGTGTAAGGACATGGCATACACTTGCTCATTGTCCACACCCTCCTTGCACTTGCCTTACACAAAAAATAAAACCTGTTTTGCAGAAGAGGTATTATTCTATAGTTAAGAGCTGGGTTGTTCAATGCTAGGTTAAGATAACCCAGGGGTAGTGTGAAATTTGAATTCAGCTATGAAAGCTTACAAAGCAAATTCCGTTTACTTCTTTTTGTCTACANGGGTACAAGGCAGTACATAAAATATGTCTGTGCAATATTGAGCTTAGTTTTAACCCTGTTGTTGTTGATCACCAAATTAATACCATTACACTGGTGTTTTGGTGCCCAAAGGGATGAGTGTAAGGACATGGCATACACTTGCTCATTGTCCACACCCTCCTTGCACTTGCCTTACACAAAAAATAAAACCTGTTTTGCAGAAGAGGTATTATTCTATAGTTAAGAGCTGGGTTGTTCAATGCTAGGTTAAGATAACCCAGGGGTAGTGTGAAATTTGAATTCAGCTATGAAAGCTTACAAAGCAAATTCCGTTTACTTCTTTTTGTCTACAATTCCGGAAAAGAAACCACGTAATAGTGCTAATCAGCCTCAAAGGCAAATCCAAGAGGACCAGGGAATTCTTGATACCCCCTCTGCAAAATGTGCCAATGTGATGAAGGACCTTTTTTTGCATTGCCACTAGTGAAGGATCATATTTAAAGATTTAAGATGGATCCATTAGGAAAATGAGTATAATTATTTTAATTTTCAGTGGACAAAGTCCTTGTACCAGAATAATGTCAAGCATATTGCATTCTTTTTTAGACTTTTCGAGGGCTTTTAAAAAAATATTGGTTCTATGAAATAACTCCAAAGAAAAGGTTTGTATGGGAGCCTGAGAAAACAAACTTCAAATGCTTCAAATTTCACTAAATGAAATCTTGTGCATGATGATTTTACCTGTGTTTTCTCAATTCCCATAAAATTTGAAATCTATTTGCTCATGCTCCCATAAGAAATTGTTTTTGGTGTTATTACAGATAACTTATTGCATCTGTAGCCCTTGATAATTAAAAGTGTTAAAAAGAAGGCGATATGGCTTAAAATATTCTGGTACAAGGTTTTTGTCCACTGAAAATTAATATTACTCAATAATAATATTACTATTTTCAAATTCCTGAAGGATTCCTTCTTAATACCTTACTTGAAGCTTCATAGGAAGAAACATTTAATGGCAGGTGAGGAGAAGCCAAGAGAGGATATTAACCTGTGGGCAGGCTTACTTGTGCGAGCCAAAATTTTTCACTGAACCTGCACAAGTGTCAGAGCCTGCTTGCAGTCTAAGACTAAGAGAGTATAAAATGTCTATCCTGAAAGCCTTAAATAATATTGGATCTTCTTAGGAGTTAGGGAACAGGGGATTTTTAAAAGACAAGGTGGGAATGAAGGGGAAGAGGCTGAAGGAGAGGTGCCACTGGATGGGGTCTTATTTTCATGACTGCGTTGACTATAATGGGGCTGCATTTTCAATACAGTTATTACAATGGGGTTGCACATTTTCAGGATGTTAGGGGTAAAAAAAGTTCTGGTAAGGAGGGATTTAAAAATGGGAATATTTGCAGTTGAAGAGTTGGCTTTCAAAAGGTAGATGCATAAACAGAAAGTCACTGACTAAATAACATTTTGTCTACCATGACTACTATGGGGTCTATTATTGGCGACAGAATAGTATGTAATCTTTTTAAACCTGGAAGCTGACACACGACTTTTTATTCTGCTGACAACAGCATGTCTGCAAATGATCATGTTTTGGTTAATACTCAATCATACCTTCAATTTGGAGGTGAAATTTGACTTTACCGAACAGTTGATCAAAAATTAAAATACTTTTAATTTTAAATTTATTTGCAACAATCATTTATATGTCGAAGCATGATTTGGAATTTTGAAATGTTCATAGTATTATTACATTATTATTATTATTATTATTATTATTATTATTATTATTATTATTTACTTTTACGTAAATAATTTACTTTTAAGTAGCCACACCATACCACGTCATATTATGTAATTTCCGGTCATTATTTTACTTCATATATATTTCTGTAAATTCGTGATATCTCAATAACCTGATGAAGACTGGTTTTGGCCAGTCGAAATATCGCAACTTAACTCTATTTCACGTTGTTTGATCAGTCCCTGCAAAAGTCTTCTTGACTGTATCGTTTTCAATATTATTTACTATTTATTTATTTATTTTTGTATTTTTATTTTTTCAAGTAATGAGGAATTTCCAGCGGCAGCCAGCTGATAGAAAAAAAATCGCGCTTTTAATCAAATCCTCCTATTTGGACAAGTTTTCCTCTAGTTACTTGGGTGGAGTGCCAAGTAAAGGATTCGCAACGCTCAAGAACGTCCCAAAAAATTAATGCTGTTCGTGAGCCTTTTTGTATTGATGAACTGAGAGCGGAATTTGTTCGAGATATCTCGAGATCACCTCTAGCTCTTTTTAAATAAAAATTTATTTGAGGAAAAAAAATAAAGATTATTTTTTGTCTCGCCCGGGGTTTGAATGCAAATTACTTTTTGTTGTGGCCCATGCGTAGAAGCCCAAAGTTTTTTCTTGGGTAGCGAAAAAAAAAATTAAAATTATCCCGGACACAGGAAAAAATAACAGATTCCCATTTTTGGATGTTTTAGGGTATTTAAAGAATACCCACAAAAATCCCAAATTTGGAAGAGTTAGACAAGTCCCAACCAGGGAACTTGGCTGGGAATTCCCTGGTTGGGACTTGTCTCACTTTGCCAAATTTTGGATTTTTATAGGTATTCTTTAAATGTCCTTCTCAAACTCATTAATAATTCATTAAGAAAATACAAAGGAAATTAATGTTTAATGAGTATTTGGAAATCGGATGAAACACTGCTTAGTATTTGCATCCTTAATTTCTCCTTCAAAAATGATTTTGTTTGAGAAGAAATATCAAACATTCGACACAGTGTTTCATCACCAGATGAAACAC